CCATGCTCTGCGCTCTGCCCGGCCCTGCAGCCCCGCGCGGGGCGGAGCGGAGTCCCGGCCCCGCCTTGGCCCTGCCCTGCAGCCCCCTGGGCCGAGCTCCGCTCGTGCAGCCTCCGCCTGCTCCGGGCTCCGCCCCCACAAAAGGGCCCGAGGAGCAGAGTCAAGGGGGCTCTGGGGGGCTGGACTGCGCGCTGCGGGCATCTCGGGGGGCTGTGCCCTCGAGCGCTCAGGCGCCGTCTCCCGAGTTGGTTCGTCGCTGCGGGACTATTGGGTGCTCAGTGCAGCTTGTTGAGGTCACGCATGGAGGAAGCGCTGAGACCTCGCCCTGGAGAGGGACAAACTAGCCCGGAACCGCCTGTGATAAGTGCCCCCTGCCTGGGGCTGACCCTTCCCCCCAGGTCAGACTCTCCAGCCTCCCTCCTAAAGCCCACCCCTCTCAGCCCCCAAACTCCCTCTTAGAAAGAAACTACAACAGCTGTTGTAAGACAAGACATGGGTTATTTCCAGCTGCCATAGCTCTAGTCTACATGCTGCGGGGCAGCCCAGTTAGTCGGCACAGGATAAACTTCAACACCACCACTCTGGCTAGGTCTAGACTGGCATGATTTTCCAGAAATGCTTTTAACTGAAGAGTTTTCCGTTAAAAGCATTTTCGGGAAAGAGCATCTAGATTGGCACGGACACTTTTCCATAAAAGCACTTTTTGCGGAAAAGCGTCCGTGGCCAATCTAGACGCGCTTTTGCCCAAAAAAGCCCCAATCGCCATTTTCACAATCGGGGCTTTTTTGCGCAAAACAAATCTGAGCTGTCTACACTGGCCCTTTTGCGCAAAACTTTTGCGCAAAAGGGACTTTTGCCCGAACAGGAGCAGCATAGTATTTCCGCAAAAAGCAGATTTCTTACAGTAGGAAGTCAGTGTTCTTGTGGAAATTCAAGCAGCCCGTGTAGACAGCTGGCAAGTTTTTCAGGAAAAGCAGCTGATTTTCCAGAAAAACTAAAGACCATGGCTGTGTCTAGACTGGCCAAACTGCTACTAGACTAGCTAAAGTGCTCCCAGACTGTGTGATGGTGTTGAAGTTAATCTAGCCTACGTGTTTATGACTGAACGGGAACCCCAGAGCAGCTTTGTGGTACTTAAAAGGCCTCCAGGCCCGAATTGTGATCACTGGGTTTGAAATGATGAAAGACTAGTATACAAGGGCCCTACAGCATGCAATGCCCCTGAGCCTCCAGGCGAGTTAAACCAGCCCTGGCTGTGAGCCTGAGGCTTCAGCTTTGGCCCTGGGCCCCAGCCAATCTAATCCAGTCCTGGCAACCCTTTTGCAAGTGTGACCTCCCTGGATAATCTGTTGAGAGTGGTTGGGGTCTAGTTCTGTCTTTTAAAACCACTCTGTCCCAAAAGAGTAATTAAGGGAAGGAACTAAAGCCCTCTCTAGAAAGGGCACAGCTTTCAAAGGGAGAGGGTGAGGGTGGGGCACTCATGGGATGAGAAAGTCCTGAAACATCCCTATTGATAGACAGTTACTTGTAGGGATAACACTCCAATCAAATCACACCACCACTAGCCAGTGACACAGGTGTAACCCAGAGGCAGTGAGCAGGGAGAGTGAAGTCAGCTCTACAGCCTTTGCTAAAAGCCTGGTGGCTTTGAGCTCATGTGGGAGAGAGACATGGCTTTAGCCCCTAAGGTCCCATGTTAGATGCCTCCTGCCTGCTGTCTTTACACAAGTAAAACATCCTGTGCTGTTGCCCACGTTTTTTCTACTTACAGCAGATGCCTCCTGTCTTTACACAAGTAAAACATCCTGCGCTGTTGCCCACGTTTTTTCTACTTACAGGTATGAAGTTAAACTTACCTAACACTCCCTTTCATTGGGTCCAGAGCAGTTAGCCAGCTGATCTGTCATGTTGCTAGGGGGAAGTTCCTCCATGTTTTTTCCCCTGATAGTACACTCCCTGGAAAACCTAGTCGAGCACTTATTTTGGGAGATCTATTTTGATGAGCCCATGGGAATTGGAAACCTTCCATATTGGTTTCCTCCTCCAGGCACTTCCACAATGATTCAGAATAAAATGGGGAGGGGGGGGTGGAGGAACACTTTATACTAATGTTTGGAAATTAGGAAAAATACAGACAGCCTGACTGCCCTGACATTTTTATTCCAAAGGTTAAAACCTGGGCTCTCAGACCCCAGGGTGGCAAGTCCTCGGGAGATACAGCCCACGTTAGACCATCATCTTCCCCTTGGAAGAAGGTTAAAAACTAGGAAGCCAGTGACAAGGATACTTTTTTAAAGTGGGGATGCTGAGCCTCCTTACCTCTGGTCCCACTCCCATCCCCAGCTGAGGCTGGGAGCAAGAGCCCCTGCACGTGGGGCCAGGACCCTGAGCAAGGGGCTAGCAGCAGAGGCCATGGTGCAGAGCTCAAACAGGGACTGCAGCACATGTGGCCAGTAGGAGAGGGAGGCATCCAGAAACCCAGTGCATGGGGCCAGCAGCTAATAATGCCTAGGGTGCCAGGGTGTGATACAGACACAGGAACTAGAAGTGTGGAGGGTGGTATCAGCAAACCCAATCAAGAAATTCCAAGTTTCCACAAAATTCCAAATGCCATATCGTTCATCTTTTAGATCCAGATAACCTCCAGGATAAAATGTGTAACGTTCTGGCATAAAGCTCCCCCTAGGCAGAGAATGTTGGTTAAGATGATAAACGGCCCCAACAGCCTGACTTTAAAGTTTAACTCAATCATATCACATGATTATTCTGACAAGCAATCTGCTCAGGAAATTGCAAACGTAAGGGAGGGAGAGAGCTTCTTGGAATTCTCTCTCAACACTCCCATCAAAAATAGCATTCAGGGAGGGGAAGTCAAACTACTGGGTCTCAAAGAAGAGACCAGAAGATCCTACTTGGATGACCCAGCAAAGTCAAGAGTGCACAAAGATCTAGAATGTACATGAGGAAGAGGTGATGTAAAATCCTGGGGATTAAAGCCTCACAACAGAAATGATAAATACAAACTATTCCTGTAGCCCCATATTATTCAGAAACATCCCACAGAGTACAGGCTTCACGCAAATGTTTTCTCCTCCGGCTCAGACTCCACGTCTTATCTCTAAACTGAAAATTCCACCTGTTGCTGTACAAATGTACCACAGTGAGACAATAAGTCGAAATGAACCTTCTCTGCCAATAACTGATAGAGCCTATATCAATGTGAATATAGTTCCTGGAAAACTAACACTCATTGGAGGTGCCTATTTATGTCAAGTGTCAGAGGGCCAAACTTTCAGTGTTTCCTAAGACTACAATATAGCTGAACTATTTCTAAGAAAGGGAAAATTATTTCCTTCAAACAGTTAAACCAAATCTGCAGTTTCAGAAGCCATGTCTGGATCGGATATGGCCCCCTGTATACAAGTCTATCCTTGACCTCTTCTCCATGAAGCAAACTCCCCTACTTATCCCCAGAGGGTTTTCTGCCCAGGGCCCAGAGAATCTAGCACTTCCTGCTCCCGGGTTTGTATTGGCAGCGCTCTGGCAGCCTGCTCATGGTCCCCAGCTGAGCACCATTGGGTTACACAGCTATTTACTAGTCAGTAGTAGAATGCTGGTGATCTGGGAGAGGAGGATGGTTTATGGGGTTTAGAAGACTTGTCTACATGGGAAGTTCTAGTGGGCCATTCACAGTGGTTTGAATTCATGTTCTCTCAGATAACCATGTAACTTGGGGAGACAAGCTCAGTCAGAATAACCCAAACTGGAAGGTCACTTGAAATGTGGGGATGGGGTGTGTCTCTGTGGCTGGGGTTCTTTGCTACAGCGACCAGCACAAGTTCTCAGCTGATCTGAGAAGGGGGAAAGCAGTGCTCTGCAGCGCCGCCCTGGCTTGTGTATGTGGTGGGGGGGTGCACGCAGGGAAGCGTGATTGCTTTAACAAATTGCATAAGACACCATCATCTGAGTAGCAGCAATATGACCAAAGGCCAGACCCAGCCCTGTTTGAGGTTACCCATATGCCAGTGATGCAATTCTAGCCACATGCCAGTACTGTGTTCTGCTCAGTGACAGTTTCATACTTTCAAGCGCCCATTCCAACTGACCCCAAGCCTGTGTTAACAGACCAGCTCTGCAGTCCCAGGAGCATGGCACAAGTTCTGTCCCAACAGGTCACAGATGCACAGCTCACATCATACATACCACTCCCAGGGAGCTGAGAGAGGTGTACATTCTGGGGTTGGCTCAGAACATGTGACAACACCCAGACATGCTGCTGTGCAGGGTGCGTACTTGTCACCCCTCCTGCCGACATCACCTCTCGCTAGCCTCCTCCTGTACACGAGACAGTAAGCCACCTTACAGCAGCCAAGTGTCTGGGAGCAGATGGTCTAGTCTGAAAGGATTCTTCAAGGGACAGAGAGGTTTGGTTTTGGGCAAGGAGAGCAGGGAGAAGATGCTGGAATTCTGTGGCTGGATTCTGCCACTCTGATTTACTGCAGGCACCAGTGTGGAATCCATTGCTGTGAAAACTCTGCAAGTGTCAGGAAGTACCAGGTGAATGTCTTACATAGTTCTGGCCAGGAGACATTTTTGTCTGAGCCTGTCAGTCAGGGCCTCAGGGCAGCTGTGTACCACAGACGAACACAAACACCAGGATACCAGGAGCTTAGAAAACTGCCTTTAATTCTATTAGTTGTTGGAAAAAGGAAACAATACAGAAGAGTTTAGTTGGCTGCAGATCAGCAAGAAGTTCAAAGATGGGCATTTGGCCACCAGGTGGTAACCAAGCAACATAAAGAACTTGCTTTTGTATAGCCTGAAGCTGAGTCCAGCAGGTTAACTTAAAGCTTCTGAAATGTTCAGTTGCCTTGAGTGTGAGCAAGCTGCCTTTCCCGGGCTCCTAAGGCAGGTGCCTGAAGATCATATTAAAAAACCCTCTTCCCGGGTGCAGAAGTTAGAACTGATATCATATTAATGGGTCAGACACTTACAAATGGGGGAGGGGAGGGGGAATCAGTTGTTTCCACTGGACTTTATTTTCAAATAAACTTTCTTACAAAACCCAGAACACCTTCTGCAGAGAGTACATGGAGCAGTGCTAAGAAATCCAATTATACAAAACTACTGCACTGAGCCTGGGGCACATTGATTTGTTTTTGGTACCATACATTTAAGTGGCACTAATTACATGGTAACGAAAAGGTAACTAACAGGAAACCACAGAAGAGTCACCTCTTGATGGGACTCTTACTTCAGGGCGGAGAGCGCGTCCCAACTCTCGTTTCACACCCTACAGCCATGAAAAGATCCGGTCTCCCTCAAAGAGGACAGCCCTGCAGTTATTCTGGGCTCCACGCACCGCCTTGTACCCCACTGACGGGGCCATTAGTTATAAGGTAGTTACAGCCCAATTCTCAGTGGTACGAGCTTTTTCCCTCTTTCTAGAAAGAAGCAAGAAGTTCGAGAATTGTCTTCGAATTAGTGCCTGGCACACCCTGCACGCACAGATGTCTGGTAAAGGAATGCTGACGTTACTCATGGGCACAGATGAATCTGATGCAGACTGTTATAAAATCATAGTTGGCTTCTAAATACTGGTAGCAAGATGAGTTGATTTGTAAATCTCGTAAGTAAATTTGTATAGATAAATGAAAAAGGCCAGTAATCATACACTAAGATTAATAAACAGCACTTCAAAATTAATCAAGTGCAGGGTGCGGCCTGGGCCATCTTCCCTTGGCCATGCTTTACACCAGAAGGCAGCCAGATTTTTTCTTGCCGCGTCGGGCTTGCAAAGCAGCTCTAGTGGCCATTTCAAAAACCTCCCTCACACCATCTTTGGTCTTCGCGGAGCATTCCATGTACCCGAATGCCCCAATGCGGTTTGCCATGTCTCTGCCCTCTTCCGGTTTGACTGGCTCCTGTGTAATACAAGAGCAGAAGCAAATTAGTAGGCTCTGAGAACGCCCCTGCAGGTGCCACCCCTTTCCTTGCCGGCCAGAGGTGCCACAAAGGCAAGCCCCCCGTGGTGGAAGCAAAAAGGTCAGGCTACCGCTTGGGTTCAATCCCCTGCTCATTGACAATCATCTTTGAACAGACATTTTCCTTCCCCAAAGTTGGGACACAGGAACTCCTCACATCCCTGCAGAATTGTTTAAGTCTGACCACGTAACATTTACTTATTTGACAAGGGAAACAAGAGCCTCGTTTGCATCAGGCAGCGTCGTTTCTAGTCCCTTTAGCCAGTGTAGTGTCAAATCTTCAGTATGTGTGTTGCAAATACTTCAGGGGGACTCCACGTTTAACAAACTGGTTCTGTTCACAACTGAAGAGTCATGGAACCACAGTCAGGAGTAAAAGGAATTTCACAAATCAACCCCTCCCCCCGCCAATATTAACAGCTACCAAATTGACTTGTTTCTTTCTATAGAGTGACATTATGCCAGGACAGTCACAGGTGCCTATTTGTGCAGAACAAATATAACGGCCACACCAAAGGTCCATCTAGCCCAGGATTCTGTCGGCCGACAGTGGCGAGCACCAGGTGCCCCAGAGGGAGTGAACAGAACAGGGAATCAATCAAGCGATCCCTCCCCATCACAGATGTCCAGCCTCTGACAAAGAGAGGCCAGGGACACCATCCCTATTCCTCCTGGCTAAAAGCCATTGATAGACCCAGCCTCCATGAATCCATCTAGTTCTTTTTTGAACCCTGTTAAAGTCCTGGTCTTCACAACCTCTTCTGGCGAGGAGTTCCACAGGTGGACTGTGTGCTGCGTGAAGAAACACTTGTGTTTGTTTTAAATCTGCTGCCTATTAATTTCATTTGGTAACTCCTAGTTCTTTTGTTATGGGAAGAAATAAGTAACTTTTCCTTATTCCCTTTCTTCATACCTGTCATGAGTGTATAGACCTCCATCACCTCCCCCCGCCTTTAGTCTCCTCTTTTCTAAGCTGAAAAGTCCCAGTTTTATTCCTCTCTCCTCACATGGCACCCGTTCCAAACCCCTCATCATTTCTACTGCCCTTTTCTGAGCCTTGCTGTTCTTGCATGCTGAAAGGTGACTTCTCTTCAACAGCTCTGAGATGCTGCTATTGGCGATTGTTTTAAAAGGAACATTTGTTTTTACTCATTAACAAATCAAAGCAAGGCTGAAAACCACACCTCAGCGCAATGGTATCTTAGAGGGAGGGTGCACTCTGAGTACTGGAGAAATGGTAAGCTACCTGACAATCTAAGCATCTATTTTGTTGTGTGTGTGTGTGTGCCTGGTGTGTTGACTCTGCTGCATCACTGATCTCGCAATCTTTTAGACCCACTCCTCTGCTTTGGGGCATTCATCTACCAACAGTCTGCTGAGAGAGAACTGTTCATTTCTTTGAGCAGGACTTTTCCTGCTAGCCCCAAAGAATGTTACGAAAGCATCACTTGGGGCCTCTGACAAGGCCCTTTAAAAGAGGCTACTAAAGAAAATATCCAGCATCCGAGCCACATTTGGCTCTAACATCTGCATTTAGCAGCCTCATTCTCACTTCAACTAGGCAATCGTAACGCGTAACGGATGGTGTGTCTCCATCTGAAACAGGCTTTCCATTTTCCATCCTCTTCTATAGGATCGGAACCTTTCATCATCTAACTGTAAGCTCTAAGCCATTTCCCACTGATCACCTGGTTCCTGATCCCTCGGCCATTTCATCACTGGTGACCTGTTGCACAGCAGCCTTGCAAGCCACAGGAGCGCACAAGAGGGTGGAGGAGACAGGTGCTGAACGTGTGCTATGGGGATGGGTCCATGGAGAGCTGCCAGTCAGTGTAGACGTGGCGTTCATGTGCTCGCAAGCCATAGTACAAAAGTTGTCACGGCTCCTGCCTGAAGGGCAGAGAGAAACTTGCCTGCTTCATTTTTGCCAGCTCCCGTCGTGTGTGCTCATCATTTCTCAGGTCCTTCTTGTTCCCCACCAGGATGATGGGCACGTTGGGGCAGAAATGTTTCACCTCTGGGGTCCATTTCTCAGGGATGTTTTCTAAAGAGAGGGGGGGAGGGGGAAAAGCAAAAAGCGTCTCAATCCACAGACGAGGCTCAACAGAAGTTTTATTTTAAGATCACATCTGCACGGTGAATGGAACTATCCTGCTTCATCTCTCACACACTTTCTTTCAATGAGATAAGCCCCTAAACATCACAGTTCCTCCCTCCAAATACACAAGTGTTCCAAAGCCAGGGACCGGCTGTCACCTTCCAAACTGCCTGAATGAAGTGGCTGCTGATCTCCACCTTTCTGGGCACTAGCCCATCTTTCTCCAACCCCCATTAACATCCAGAAAGCCAGGTCCCACACTCTGCACGTCCATAAGGCCCTGAGACCAAACCTGCTGACTTCCGATGCATGTCCAGGTGACACTGTGACAGACTGATGCCAGTGTCAAGGCTGTCCACACCAAACAGCTGGTGTGCATGAGTGCTCAGACTAGGCAGGTGCTCAGCTACCTGGAGGAAAAGGTCTGACAAATGTTTCAATTGTGGGCTGCATGAGCTTCGTGAGAGCAAGACTCCAACATGTGCAGAGGAAGTTCCTACTCAGACCAAATGCAGCTCAAACCTGGCCCACACTTATCTCCAGAGCACAACCCATACACAGTGAAGGATTTAGCCTCCTTTGTCACAGTGCTGATCTCCGTAGCCAAGCCCGGCAACATGTACAGCAGTCCTTTCATAAACCTGGCAATCGCACCAAGAGGGAAGGCTCTGGAACCTTTTCAGCCGAGCAAGTAGACATGGCATCACACAGCTTAGCAGCCAGGCATTCAGGGAAAGCCCTGGCACACAAAGGCCAAATAGCAGGCGCCAATGTCACGAGCAAAGCTCTTACCCCACCAGGGGTGGGCAAACTTTTCAACTTAAGGGCCACATCAGAGTATGGAAATTACATGGTGGGCCATGAACTCAAGCCCCCGCCAGGCAATGGAATCTGAGGGCTGTAGTTTGCCGAGCCTGGCCCTACACACTCAGTGCAGCTAACAGGCAGCTCCAGAGCAGCATTCCCACTAATGGTCTCCATCCCTGCATAGAACCAGTGTGTTGTGTGCAGCTTTCTTGCGGGAACGGGTGCACGTGCCGCTAGCACAAACGTAGGTTTTAAAGGGTGACCCTAGGGACGATGACTCCAGCCACACTAACAACTTTGGAAGAATGTGCACACCCTGCGGGACGCAGCACGCGGTCACACGACAAGCGAGGCGCACACACATGCTATCCTTGGAGCAGATCGGCACTCAGGCTGAAGGCTGCTTGTTCAGACAGCAGCAGCAGGCGCCAGCAGCTCCATCCCATTTCTGACCCTGTCTTCCAGGCCATTCTGCATATGAGATACCTGGGCAGGGAGGGGAACAGGGGACATCCTGACACCAGTACCTCCTCCGCTCACTCTTGGGAGAGGGCAGGAACAGTGCAGCAGCAGGTGGACACACAAAACAAACTAACCCCAGAGTACTAGTAAGAGACTAAATGGCACTTTAAAATGCCGCGTGTTTGCTACTGTGATGAAGATTACCTCTTGCCATCACGTGTGCATTTGCTACTGTGATGAAGAAGATTACCTCTTGCCATCACGTGTGCCATTTATAACTATCTGCACTTGGCAGGATTTTACCTCTGCCCTTTTCATGTAGAAAACCTGTTAGATACAATCAAATGTATATAGCTTCATTTTCATTATCCTACCACTGACTGTACCTGAATTTTGCACCCAAGTCCAGCCAACTAAATAGAAAAAGTAGAAACATGCTCGAGATACTTTGTACATGACAACGGCTATTCTTCTTCCAAGGAGGAGATCCCCATGGTTGGAGAGTAACTGCTGTAACTGTGGTCTGTGTGTTTTTTTTTTTAAAAAAAGAATCCAACTAAATCCTCTCTTTCCCCAAAAGTCATTAAAAAAAAATCACATGTAATAACTATTTCCATAAATTACAAAAGCTGTTTGTATTATTTATGCCCAGCTTTTGCATTGGCTGACATGCTGGGGAACGGCTTCACTTACACACAGGTATATGTATCTAGTTCCTAAAATTAATGCTGCTTCCACCAGCTGCTTGAAATGTTTGGACTTAGCTTTGTCCGGGAACATGCATTACCGCTTTCAAGTTTGCTTCACAGTATCATTCTTGGTACTTGCTCACCTGTTGGGCCCCTGTCCCAGCTCCAGGGCTCCCCACGACCAGGAGAGGCCTCCAGGAAAGTGTGATTTCCCTTGCATTTCAGCATTGGTTGGGGGAAGACGGATTGGAAGCCATTAAAGCCAGATCTTCGCTGTATGCTCTCATTCTGGCTCTTTGGAGTACTGCCACCGAGACAAGGAGCAAGCACTTGGCATTAGGGGTTTTGTAGAATGAAGACTATGTGGAAGCTCTTTGAAGCAGGGGTCTGCCCGCGAACTCCCAAGCCAGGTGTCCATGTGCTCCATTTACTTAAGAGCAGAGCCTGTCAGAACTTAATGAGCCTGCCTGAGTTTTTCATTTGGTGACTCAGCAATTACACTGTAACTGGGGAACTGTGCCTGTTTCTAGAGAGCTCTGTTGCACGTGCACCGCATGGGTCCTCAAACACTCATCGAAAAATACCTACAACTATGTGACGTTTTGCTTCTCTGCATGTTTGTGGTTTTGTTTGTTGTCGTTTTACTACTGACCTTTATTGTTGTGTGTGGGGTATTCCTTTAAGAGTCAACATCCCTGAGAAATTGTGTAAGCCTGGCCTTTTCAGGGTTGGAAAATGTTGTATTAATATTCACAAGATCATAACTACTTCTAGTTGACTCAGATTTGGATAGCGCCTTAGAGCAGAGCTTTGTGCTGATAACTCTCCCTCTTGCAGGAATGTTTTGTGGACTGCAAAAGCCTGTAGCATGCTATAGTGCTTTGGCAGGTGCTTTTCTGGAGAGCGGCTTTTGCTGATGATGTAGTGGTCTATTGGAGTAGGTTATTAAATTGGGCTTCTGGTGAATATTTTTATGCTTTCACTTAATGATCATGTATTTGTTTTATTTATATAGCAGTTTCCAGTCTGCCACATTATGGCGTATTTACTAGCTTGCCTTATTAGAAAGGAGGTAAACTACCTGTACTCCAAGGGCAGTGTTGGTTTTCCTTTTGATTTCATATCAACAAACACCTTAAGCAGTGCACTTTATTATTCACCCCTTGTTTTAATATTTGCTTTTCTTTCTCCAGACCTAGGAACTTTGAACAGTATATGTATTAAATCCAGGTTGTGTGTATGTACCGGTGGCATACAGCCACACGTGACCTTGGTACTGGTAGTGCACAGAACAGAATTCATCCCTCAGAACAGCCAGACTGGGTCAGACCAAAGGTCCCTCCAAGCCCGGGAGCCTGTCCTCTGACAGTGGCCAATGCCAGGTGCCCCAGAGGTGATGAGCAGAACAAGGAATCAAATCTCCCTGTCGCCCAGTCCCAGCCTCTGACACCATCTCTGCCCAGCCTGGCTAATGGCCATTGATGGACCTCACCCCCATGAATCAGCCCGGGAGCCTGTCCTCTGACAGTGGCCAATGCCAGGTGCCCCAGAGGTGATGAGCAGAACAAGGAATCAAATCTCCCTGTCGCCCAGTCCCAGCCTCTGACACCATCTCTGCCCAGCCTGGCTAATGGCCATTGATGGACCTCACCCCCATGAATCTAGCTAGCTTTGAACTCGATTACTAGTCTTGGCCTTCACAACATCCTCTGGCAAGGAGTTCCACAGGCTCTACGCATGGATGGAAAAAATTAGAGCGTTGTTGATCCTGACCCTCCCATCCAGGCTGGGGAGAGTTTTGTTCAGGCAAAGGATGGCACCTCCTTGGTCTGCAGCAATAATAGAGCTCCCTGTTGAATGGGTGGCTTTTTCCCCCCAATAGGATATGCATGTGTCTAATACAGTGAGTCCAAACTGCTTGCAGTGCAACAGCCTGCATTTGAGTGACTAACTGGCTTGTTTTACCAGTTTTTGCACAAGTACCATCACAGCAAATTCCTACACAACACTTCTATTCAAAGCCAGAATTGGAGACAAGTACGAAAAGCCGATCCTTTGTAGCATGCAGTGGGAATGGCTGGCAGAACAAATTCCTCTTTGGGAGTTTAACTCCATCACTCGCCAATTTTATGTATATCAGCATCTGAGCAGCACCTGATACTTCCATCGGGCGGGCAATAAAGATCCTCACAAATACATGAAATAAAAAGAGTGGCAAACTACAGCAATGAAACATCCATAAAAGGCTAAACTAGGAGTAAAAGTGGCAAACGTAGCCAACAGCGAAGCAGGCATACTAGGCAACCGAGAAGGCACTGAGGGCCATTTGCTTGCACAACCCTAAGTAGTCTCAGTAGGTAGGAGACACAAGAAGGTGCAGAATGAATGCACTGGCTGAATGGGCACAGCTACTGAAGACCGCTGCAAAGGCAAATTGAGCTCACGTGCATGTGAAGTGGAGTACCCACAGGGGCATTACTTGAAAAAGATTTACCAGGAAATAGCGAAGCTAGCATTACAATATATAATCAAATGTGGTTGGTTAGAAATCAGAATTCACTCAATTTAAGCCTAAATGAATTCCAGGCTGCACAGTATGCAGTCTCCTAGGGATACAATAATCTAGGAAACCATTTGGACTCAGTTTTACTTACCTAAACTATCAGGACTATCAATTGAAAAACACATAAGTATAACATCAGTGTCTGGATAAGACAGAGGCCTAAGTCGATCATAATCTTCTTGTCCTGCCGTATCCCACAGGGCCAACTCAACCTATAGAAAAGAGTGAAGGCAGTTAGCTAAAATCATCAGGGGATTTCTAACTCAAGGGTGAGTAGCCCAAGCAAAGCAGAGAGTGGACTGCAGTTATGACAGGAGGGGAACACAATGGAAAGTTGTCTACTCTCTGCCTCCAAAAATTCATCTGACACATTAACAAGGTTTTCCATTCTATCAATGGCTCCCTACACCTCTGAAGAGTGGGCACTGCCAGAGAGAAAAGCCGAAGGGAGGGACAGAAGGGACAGAATGGCCTAGAAATAGTTCTCAGCGCTGGGAAGCTGCTCTGTAAATATTCAGCAGAGAACTGTGTGTGCACTTGCTTTGCAGGAACTTGGACAAATTAAAGCAGGGGCGGGGAACCTCAGGCCCAGGGGTCCAATGTGGCACCTGGCTTACCTGGATATGGCCCCCAAGGCTTAGCCTCCCCCCCCAGCTTTGGGGAGCCAGTGCTAGTGCTCCAACCCCCTTGCTGCCCTCCCTGGGGCTGATGCCCCCTAGGCTCTGGTGTGTGAAGAGAATGCGAGGAGTGTTTTTCACTCAGGGAGGATTTTTTACTTGTGTGGCCCCCAACTGATTTTTCTGTGGGTCAGCAGCCCGACCCAAAAAAGGGTCCCTATCCCTAGATTAAAAGGTTCACTCCAACCAAAAGAGAAAGTGTCAAAAGGCCACTCGTGTGTGCAGTTTTACTTAACTCCCCCTGCCATAGTGGTAACATAAGCCTGCAATGTGCTTTGAAATCCAACTGCTCTCTCATTGTGTGCAACACCCATTATAGCTCAGGGCTGGATACATTTTAATAGTTCAGTGTGGGACAGAGCTAGGAGGAGACTTACTGAACAGAATGTTTTGGGGAAAAAAACAAAACCCATGAAATCTAGAAGACTGAGCAACACTACTACCTACAATAATAAACTTGTAAAACTGCAAACATGAAATGGATAAGAACGGCCATAATAGGCCAGACCAAAGGTCCATCCAGGCCAGTGTCCTGTCTGATGACAGAGACCAATACCAGATGCCTCAGGAGGAGAGGATTACGTGTTGTGATCCCATGTGACCCACCCCCTATCACCCACCTCCAGAGAAACAGAAGCTAGGGACACCATTCCTACCCATCTTGGCTAATAGATTCATGGAGGTTAGCTCCATCAATGGCTATCTAGCTCTTTTTTGAAACCTGTTAAAGTTCTAGCCTTCACCGCATCCTCTGGAAAGAAGTTCCACAGGTTGACTGTGCACTGAGTGAAGAAAAACTTCCTTTTGTATGTTTTAAACCTGCTGCCTATTAATTTTATTTGGTGACCCCTAGTTCTTATATTGTGTGACTAAGTAAATAACTTTTCCTTATTGCTTTTCCACATCAGTTATGATTTTATAGACCTCTATCATATTTCCCCCCTTAGTCTCTCCTCTTTTCTAAGCTGAAAAGTCATATGGGACCTGTTCCAAACCTCTAATAATTTTTGTTGTTCTTCTCTGAACCTTTTTCAATGCCTATATATTTATTTTAAAACAAGGCAACCACATCTGTATGCAGTATTCAAGATGTGGGCATACCATAGTTTTATACTGAGACATTAAGATATTTTCTGTCTTATTCTATCCCTTTTTTAATGACTCTGAACATTGTATTTGCCTTTTTGACTGCCGTTGCACACTGAGTGGATGTTTTTAGAGAACTATCCACAATGACTCCAAGATCTCTCTCGAGTAGTTGTAGCCAAATTAGTCCCCATCATATCGTATATATAGTTGGGATTATGTTTTTCCAATGTGCATTACTTTACATTTATCAACATTAAATTTTATTTGACATTTTGTTGCCCAATCGCATAGTTTGGTGAGATCTCTCTGAAGTTCTTCGCAGTCTGCTTTGGTCTTAACTATCTTGAGCAGTTTGGTATCATCTGCAAATTTTGCTACCTCATTGTTTACCCCTTTCTCTAGATCATTTATAACTAAGTTGAATAGGATGGGTCCCAGGACGGACCCATGGGGGACCCCACTAGTTACCGCTCTCCACTTGGGAAAACTTCCCATTTATTCCTACCCTTTGTTTCCTGTCTTTTAACCAGTTACCAATCCACAAAAGAGTCTTCCCTCTTATCCCATGACAACTTAATTTACTTAAGAGCCTTTGGGGAGGGACCTTGTCAAAGGCTTACTTCCACTGGACCTCCTTTGTCCACATGTTTGTTGACCCCCTCAAAGAACTCCAGCAGATTAGTAAGGCATGATTTCCCTTTACAGAAGCCATGTTAATTTCCCCCCCACAAATTATATTCATCCATGTGTCTGAATTTTATTCTTTACTTTAGTTTCAACTAATTTGCCCAGTACTGACATCAGATTTACCCGTCTGTAATTGCCAGGATCACCTCTAGAGCCCTTTTTAAATATTGGTGTCATGTTAGCAATCTTCCAGTCACTAGGTACAGAAGTTGATTTAAAGGATAGGTTAAAAACCACAGTTAATCGTTCTGCAATTTCCCATTTGAGTTCTTTTAGAACTCTGAGGTGAATGACATCTCGTCCTGGTGTCTTGTTACTGTCAAGTTTATCAGTTTGTTCCAAAACCTCCTCTAATGACACCTCAATCTGGGACATTTCCTCAGATTTGTCACCTAAAAAGAATGGCTCAGGTTTGGGAATCTCCCCAATATCCTCAGCTGTGAAGACCAAAGCATAAAACTCATTTAGCTTCTCTGCAATGACTATCATCTTTGAGTGCTCCTTTAGCATCTCGATCACCCAAGCGCCCCACTGGTTGTTTAGCTGGCTTCCTGCTTCTGATGTACTTAAACATTTTACTATTACTTTTTGAGTTTTTAGCTAGCTGCGCCTCAAACTCCTTTTTGGCCTTTCTTACTATATTTTTACACTTAATTTGGCAAAGGTTATGGTCCTTTCTATTTTCCTCACTACGATATGACTTCCACTTTTTGAAAGGTATCTTTTTATCTGTCACTGCTTCTTTTACCTGATTGTTTAGCCACTGTGGCACTTTTTTGGTTCTTACTGTGTTTTTTTTAATTTGGGGTATACATTTAAGTTGGATCTCTATTCTGGTGTCTTTGAAAAGTTTCCATGCAGCTTGCAGAGATTTTACTTTTCTCACTGTACCTTTTAATTTCTGTTTAACTAAATGGATGGACCCACCACAAAAAAACCTTGAGAAACTTCACAAGAAGCCATTGTTAAGAGAGAGAGGCAGCAACGCGACTCCAAACATTAATAAGCTTGAATGACAAGCACTGTCAATTGTTTACCTCAAAGATAACAGCTCAAATGGTATTCCCAATTATAGGGCACATCTACCAGAAACTTCCAGGAAAATTGCACGCATGTAACACAGAGAATGAATCAAGCTCATAATGAGGTTACTTACCAGAAACTTGTTCAGTGTTACCTCTAGGTATTCACATAAATGGGAGAAGGCTTCTGGTGGCAAACACATGGAACCCTCTTCTACAGCAGTGCTGTGGGGGTGCATGGCTGCCTTTGTATAGTGCTGAAGTCAGCCACTCTAGTCTATAGAGCAGCACACACATGGTAGTCAGCTCAGCTCTCTCTCCTTGGAGGGTGTCTTGTATTCCCATGTCCGAGAGACATGGGAGTAGTGTTCCCGTGGAAAGAAGGCACGTGAAGAGTACACTAATCAGACATGGACTGCAGCACTGCCCCCACCCAATTTCACATTGCAATTCAAGTCCAAAAGAAAAATGTGTGGTTAAGGCATGCACTTGACTCCATGTTGTTGCTCTTTCTCCAGAAAGACTGTGCCTGAAGGAAGCCACAGTTGTAACAATGGCTCTAGTAAAATGTAAGTCCGGACTGTAATTATGATTTAACCATTCTCTAGACCAGTGGATTAAGAAATTCAGAGAGACTCCCCTTGGCATCTTTTCCCTGTAAACTATAAACATTTTGTCTTAATACGTTTTGTACTGTCTAGCTAAACCCAGGGACTTCTTTTAGCATAGTGTTCAGGCCCCTTTCCCTGGGATGGGAGTGACATCTCAGGAAGACAACAGCAAGGGAAATGTGTTGACTGAGGTGCAAGTCAGATACCAGCTTAGGCACTGTCTACACTATCACAGTAAGCTGACTTAAGTTACATTATTCACATCACAGAAGTAGCGTAACTGAAACAGATGCAGCATAGGTTGACTTTGTGCAGTGTCTCGATGGGAGATGCTTTCAGCCTATTTCCCTTACTCTTCTCTGGAAGGTGGAGAACTGGAGCTGACAGGAGAGTGCTCTGCCAACAACCTAGCAGGCCTTCATCAGCCCCACCAAATTAATGCCTTTGTCTATTGGTAAGCATAGACACGGCCTTAGGCGTGACGGGGCCTCAAACATCCCTGAACCATAGTGTAAGGCGGTGTGGCCGTTGTGACTGAAGCACACTCGCCCTCCTTGCAGAAGTGGAAGCAATAAGGAAAGCTGTAACGGAAAGCAAGAGGTTCTAAAAAACCGGATCTAGGAAGTTCAGAAACAGGAAGCGGGAGGAAATCACCTTAGTACGGGATTTAAATCCCAAGAGGACGGACAACCCTTAATGGGAGGGAAAAGCATTAATCAAGCCTCTAGAAATCCTGAGACTGTGGCATGGAGGGAAAATTGTTCGGTCTCCGACATGGTGCTAATTACAGAAACGGTACCCAAGAGTGCCAGGATTGCAAGATACAAGAAGTAGCCCAGATCTGCAGAAACCCCAGTTTGGGATGGAGAAATAACCTTGTCATTGGCCCAGATTCAAACTATTTTTGTTGCTACTCTTTCAGAGTGGAGCCCTTTCCAGATATGAGCAGGATGCAATGCAAACTCTAGGACAGGTGTGACCCACACTACTCAACCAGGCTGTCCTCCATGCTGCGAGATGTAGCATATCTTGTGCTCTGGGAACAGTACTCTGAACTGAGACAAGCAGCTTAGAGACAGACAAATCGGGGGTTACCTAGCAAGGTCCAGGAGTTAGTTTACCAGCG